CTGTTATTTTTTTTTAAATAAAAAAAAATGTTTTCAATTTTAATGTTTTATTTAGATTACAAAAATAAATAGTAATAAAAATAATCCTATTTATGATGTTTTAAAAATTAAGACCTATGAAAGACTGATTTAAGACATTTTAATACCAATTAAGGCCTTAGTTTTATTTTGAAGAATTCAATGCCTTTCAAGACTTTTTAAGGAACCCTGATTAAGAATCCTAAATGTCCAACAGAATCAAACAGCAGCGAACACAGCGGCGCTAAAGATAAGGGATCCTGCAAAGAGAACGAGACGATCCGCCATGGGGGGGGGGGGGGGGCTTACCTCGGAGGCTGTAGCAGCCGTGTTGGAGATGCTTGATTGGCCATTAGGGAGGTCCATCATTCCCATACCATCCAGTTTAGCGCAGGAGACCATTCATCGCTCTCAGCTGCAGCAAGGCCTGCTCGGCTCTCTGGACACAATCAACACATCAAAAACATTTTTCACAACCTTCTGATCCACACTGCTTTTAATACTGTAATGCTGCAGCAGCACCACCTAGTGGAGAAACATACCCTAACCCAAAGCACCCTTAAAAAAAAGAGATGGTTTAATGTTTGCTAATGTTAGTGTCTTTAGATTCTGCTTGTTTACCGTCCTCACTTTCACAGCCTGTTATCATATTCTAGAGCAACAGAACAGAAGGAGCTTAGGCTTGAGGGTTTTTTAACCGCTCGCATGTGCAAGGAGGAGGAGTTAGTTAGATCCACACCACTAAACGGCTTAATAAACCTGCTGCCAGGCAGGAAAACCAGCCTGTTCAGGGAAAGTCTTAAAGCGCTGCAGAGATGATCTATAGCAGGATAGTAGGTTGAAATTTTAAAGTTGTTTTCTCTAGAAGGAGGTGGAAGGAAGGAAAATGGCTGCTTCAAATCGTAAAAGCCACCTCCATCATCCTATTTACCTTAAAACACAAACATGGTGGCTGCTTGTATGAAAACAGGGTTCCTACGAGTTTCCAAAAGTTACATTTAAGGCTTTTTAGGACCAATTAGAATAAAATAAAACCCATTTCACAAGAATAGGGAAAAAAAAGAGCATTCTTAGAATTTAAGAAAATAAATGTATTTAAATCAGATTAAATTTGAATTGTACACACAGACTGTGTTAATATGTGTATAAACAACTAAAGTTTCCCTCTTCGCCAAGCGTCACTGCCGATGCTGCTGTTGAGCTAATAGCTCGTTAGCTATTGAGACCGGGAGTTTTTCCTGCATATAATACCCAAGACAACAGATTTCACACTTAAAGGAATTTTTAAGGTATTAAATTGAAATAAGTAACTTTAAGACTTGTTATAATGTAGGAGCCCTGATTAATGTTGCTGTGAAAGAAATAACGGATTTTAAATGTACAAATATGTTTAATCCGAACTTGATTCCAAAGTTGAAACTAAATCCTTTAAACTTCTAACGTATAAGCTAAGTTAACACATTTTGTTCAGTAATTCATTCCAAGCTTGAGCCACTTGCTAATCTGAACGTTTAACAAGTATTTAAACCAAAATAATCCAGCCTTTTGTTTCTACAGTTTAATTACTTTAAATAAATAAACAGAGGCTGGTGTCCATCAGTATTCCCAGGTTTTATGGAAGATACAGCCGGTCCTGCTACACAGTATCACTTCCATCTTGGCC